TCTGGCACGAGGGAGGGGTTACTGCAACATCGTTGATGCGCCTTGGGTTTACACTGGTCCACCTCCACCTCCTCCGCCTCCTCCTCCTCATCATAAGCCGCCTCATCACCATTATCAGCATCATCCTTACCACCGCTCATCATCATCATCATCATCATCATCATCATCATCATCATCATCATCATCATCATCAGCATCATCATCATCATCATCATCATCATCATCATCAGCATCATCATCATCAGCAGCATCGGCATCATCAGCATCATCAACATAACCATCATCATCATCAGCAGCAGCAGCATCATCAGCATCCTCATCCTCATCAGCATCCTCATCATAATCCTCATGCTCATCATCAGCATAATGATCACCATCAGCATCATGATCATCGTCATCATCATCATCGTCGTCATCAGCTTCATCATCTTCATCATCGTTATCGTCATCGTCATCGTCATCATCACCATTATCATCATCCGCATCATCATCGTCATCGTCATCGTCATCATCATCACCACCACAATCATCACCATCATCAGCATCATCATCATCACCATCATCATCACCGCCCCCCGCCTTACTCACCTGCTCCTTTAACTCCTCCTCCTCATCCTCCTTTTCCTCCTCCTGCTCTTCGTGCCCCGGGAGCTAGCGATGGCAGTTCTGCTCTGGACAAAATTGATCCGCTGCGAGCTCCAAGCCTGCGGGTGAGGAAGTGCCCACGCAGCTCGAAGACCTCGGAGGCTCACACTCGATCAGAGCTGCCGGCTTCGGTGTGGGGAGGTGGACGGCACAGCGGGCCGCGCGCTCAGAGTCGCGGGCAGAGCTGCCAAGCTCTCAAGCACAAGCGAAGATGGTTCCGGCTGGTCTTCTGGCGGGAGCGTTCTTTGGGAGTGAGACCGCGGGGACTTCTAAACAGGAAGATCTGCTGCTCTGTAGGATTCTCTTCAGTACGGGCCGCCCCAGCCTCTATTCTTCGTTCGTCGGCCACCTCGGCGATCTTGGAAGGCTGCATGCAGCCCCATCGTTCGCCAAAGAAAGGATATCTGGAGCGCTGGCTGGTTCATGCTCCTGCTTTTAAGTGCCCATTGTCTCTGCCTGATCTCCACAGTGCGCGGCCAAGCGTTCTTGACAGGGCGTTCAACTTTTGGCGCTCAGTGAATGGCCCTCTGTCTGTGTTGGGAATTCTCTCGGTTGGGTTGATGGTATTCGATATCATTGCGAGTCGTAGTGAAGAAAGGCTTCGTGGGCGAATTTCACCTTGCGCTGATGTGTTCGGCACCGAGCGTGCTGCAAAATGCTTGGATGAGCGTGGAATTCTGGCGTTTGCCCCTGCGGCCTGTTTGACGAGCGAACGCACTTTTCGCCTTGACCATCAAATCGATCAAGCTTGCCCGTTGTGGTGGCGAGAACACCCGCCCTCTTCACAGGCTTTGGACTTGCCCTCATCTCTCCCGCCGCCCAGGAAGAAAGGGGTGACATCTTCACGATAATCTCTGGGGTTTTCGCTCCTCCCGCCGGATCGACAAGTAGATCGTGGAAGACGAAAAAGAATATCGACGGGGATCGAGGAGGAGGAGTAGGAGGAGGAGCGCGGGTAGCCTGAGGCGAACGAGCCTCCTCAGGCTCGGCCACCGTGCGCTAGGCGGGAGATTTGGCTAGCGCACGACGAGATAGCGGGCAGCGGCCAGCAGTGCATTATGCGAGATGTGTGTGGCCGTCCTGAATTGGTTGTCCATGTGGAAAACCAGCATTACGCGGCGAATCGTGGTCCGCAGAGACAACTCGCTAGGCACAGGCGGGTAAGCCGCAGAGGGGCCCAGGCCCCACCGTGTTAAAGCGTTAAGGATGAGTGGAGGGTCAGGGGGCCAGAGGAGGCTCAAGAGGCGAGGGAAGGAGAGGTATGAAGGGGCCCTGGGACACACAAATAAATAGACACAAATAAAAATATTCCCCATACGTTCCCATATTTATTGGATTTCTGTTTCCCCCCCCCCCCCACTTCCCATATTTTCGCATATTTTCTGGGGAATCGACGATTAATTGTGTCTCTGTGTCTTTTCTCCTCCTGAAGGTAGTGGGGAAATGAATCTGGCTGATCGTGGCAGCCGAACACACAACAGCGGGGCGCAACACACATACATGCGGGCGGTGGTCGCCCACCCGCCAGCAAGTGTCTCGAGAGTCGCCCAACGCCAGCTCGGTCGGACACTGCTCAGTGCACTGGCGA